ATATTTTAAACTTAAAAACATAAGTTAACTAACCCCAAAGTAAAACTAAAAAAAAAGTCAAGAAAAAAAAAAAAGAACCAACACAATTAAAACAAGTAATTCTCTAAACTAACTAGAAATATTTAATCTTGAAATTGTCATTTCCCATTCCACTAATGTCAACTCCTGGGTTAGGTCAATGTCCAACGATTCGGCCCCAACTGCCACGAGTTACACCAAAATTGTTGCTTTGCTCAATTGGAATTTGGAACAATGAAGATTCCCAATTCTCAAGAAATCAGAATAAGGGGTCAGTAGGAAGGCTGGAAAGTCTTCGGAATTAGGCACAAGCAAGAGGGAAATCATCATTTGGGGGAATGGGTTTGAACGGCGTGAACGCTACATATATATAGGCAATGAGAGTGAGAGCAAAATGACAATGTAATGGTATTGGACTTGGCTCATTTTTTAAATTTGGGTCCTAAGAGAACATGGATTTGATCCAGATCCAGATCCAGATCCAGTTACGAGTTATTCAATATCCACTAAGTCACTAAAGTCCAAAAAATGTTGAAGTAAATCGGACCGGTAAGTGCTGAGCTAGATCGGTTAAGGTTAAAAGGGCATAAAACAAACTTTTGTGGTAATCGGTTCGTGTCTCTCGTCAAATTAGGCTTAGATTTTGTCGCAGATCAGATTTTCCACAATTTTTGTGGGCATGTAACATTAATCTTTTAGAATTATTTACCCAACAAAAAAGTTCATTGGAATGAACAAATAACATCACAACTCAACGCAAATGATTTATTACAATGAAGCTAATACCCAAGATTATATTCATGTGATCTAATTCACATATTTGTTCGGGTAAATGGAAAAAAGATATCATAATCAAGAGATTGATAGAGAATTATTTTTGGGCAACCTCCATACAAATCATCAATTTTTAATTCGCTAGGTTGATCATATATGATTCTGTTTTATCAATAAAATGGATTAATGTGCTGATCAAAAGAATAAAAAATAAAATGGACTAATGTGCAATGCTTGAGACTAAAGTTATAAATGAGTTAAAGTGCTTGTGAATTACTTAATTCAAATTCGAGTTGGGTTCAACTTAACTTGAATTAGAGTAAAAATTAAACTCAAATTTCTTATAAATGAAGGGATTATACCCATGCTTGTTTAGTTGTTCCATTTAAGGCCATTAACTTAAAAGATGTTTATAAGTTAAAATCAACTCTTAAATTTTAAAGGATCAAACATTTTATTTACATCCTGCACATTAATTATATTGTGAGATGAAGATATAAAGTAAAATTTAAATTGGTACAATAACACATCCACTATCAATAAAATAATTACTAAATACTAAAATAATTTTTAACAAGAAGATATATGTTTAGTTACATACAAAATAATACAACACATCAATACAAAGCAAAACATAAATTACATGCAACTTTATAATAAGTACAAGTTTTAATATTAAAAAAAGTACACAGATAACACATAGGTTAAAGTTTCAATTAAGATCCGTGCTTGCAGTGCTTCTCACCGATGCTTGTAACTATGGTAACGGATGAGCGTACTGAGACTGGGAGCACTACTAAAAATTATACGATAGCCCCTATCGCTTTAGTTTTGGGTTTTTTTTTTTTTCATTTTTCTTTATATAAAAGCTCTTGATACTCATAGTAGATTTTGATTAGTTTGAAATTAAGTGGCAACAGACTTTGTAATTTTTATTTCAGCCAACAGTTCGTTGGTTGCTTTATTTCCGTTTGATTCCCATCTGCGTTGCGCATACGCCATCCTGCAACTCAACATTTTCGAGTGCCAGTTAACGCCTTCACGCGCCTCCTGATTCACCAACTCATTCGGGTGTCATCATGGCCGACTCAAATTCTTGGCAAGTCAAATGTCCCAATTTTTTTCACTGCAAATTGTGTTGTACTAATTTAAAACCGAGAGAAAAGAGAATTTTGTTTGATTTTTTATTTTTATTGATTATTTAAATCTTGATTGCAGTTTAATGCCATATATGCAGCTCAGTGAATCCAATTTATGCTGAGATTATTGTGGTGCGCCATGGAGAAACCAAGTGGAATGCTGATGGAAGAATTCAGGTCTCCTTAATTTGTTTTACTTTGAGAAAAATAGAACTTTAATTCTAAAGAATTTGCTTTTCTTTTTTGATTTATATCTGCAAGTGGGAATGCGTTGGAGTACCGCTTTTGTTGATAAGAAAGAAAAAATGTCTACAAGTTGGATTAGTTAGAAAAAAAAAGAAAAAAAGAAAAAAAAAAAAAGAGATGAAATGATTCTATATTATCTTCTTCTTCTTCTTCTTCTTTTTATGATTTTATTTTGTAAAACTATGTGTTTCTTAAACTATAGGGACATCTGGATGTTGAGCTAAATGATGTTGGGAGACAGCAAGCAACTTTGGTATGTTATTGCACATTAGTAATTAATTGCGTAGAAATGACATTTCTTGTTCTGATGCACACTCATGATATCTTGTTTTTTTGGGACAACACCCCCCAAAAAAAAAAGGTGGCTAATAGACTAGCCCAGTTGCCCAAAATATCTGCAATATATTCTTCTGATTTGATGCGAGCTTCAGAGACGGCAGAGATAATTGCAGCTCGCTGTGGGCGCCTAGAGGTATGATTAGATTTTGGGATGTCAATTTGATTGTCCATTGATCCTCGTAGTATAACAAATTTGGATGATGGGTCTGCCCTTCTATAATTATAAGTCGGCTGTGTTGGGATTTTTATAAAGTTTGTACTATTTGTTATGGAGTACTAGTTATGTTCCTACATAATATAAATTCATTTGATTCACTGATAAAAGGAAAAAAAAAAAAAGTCTGCCCTTCTATAATGTTCCTTAGACAGGAAACTGAGATGACAAAAGAACTATGAGTAATGTTTCTGCCATCCCATTCTCCTATTACTTTTTCTCGTTCTTTTCACCCTTTTGAAGCTAGTTCTTGTCAATATAGTTTAGAAAAGTTTGAACTTTTGAAATTTCAAGTTTCAAACATTAATTTTATGGTGGATGTAAATTTCAGGTTATTAAGGATCCAGACTTGCGAGAGAGGCATTTAGGAGATCTTCAAGGCCTTCTAGCACGTGAAACAGCCAAAGTTAACCTCAATGCTCATAAAGCCAACAGGTCTCGCAGGACAGATGTAGATATACCAGTAAGCAAGTATTTTCTGTTATATAAATGTGCCACTGCATGCATGATGGTATAGTTGTTCTCTCTGGCTATGAAAAACTTGTGAACTAGATACTTAACATTGCTTCTGCATGGCCCCAAAAATGATATTAACCTTCTTGTATTGGTCATTTGATGATTTAAACACCTGCTGATTTTTTTCTCTACAAATATGCAGGGTGGTGGAGAAAGCCTGGACAAACTCTACCACCGCTGCACATCAGCATTGCAGAGAATTGGTAGGAAGCATGCAGGTATGTTTTGTGCCAATGGTGAAAGGATTATACCCTTAGCAAGAAACAAAGTTACATTAATGTTGTTCAAGTTATTAATGTTCCTAACATGGTTTACTTTTAACTTTTAATACTTATTGGAACTAAAGCATATTTTATTACACTTCCATCTCCCACTAGACCAGCAAGGTGTTGCTGTTTTATTTCAAGTGTTTGAATTTCATTGTTTAGCCATCCCAGGTCTTACTATAATGTGTTTCTAAGTAAAACTTTCTGAATTTCTATGGCAGGAGAACGAGTTGTTGTGGTCACTCATGGGGGTGTCATTAAAGCACTTCACAAAAAGGCTTGCCCAAAAATGAAATTGGCAGGGAAGATACTGAATACATCCATAAACATTTTTCTCCTATCAGACGGTGATGGGTGGATCATAAAAGCCTGGGGTGATGTTAGTCATCTTGATGCAACAGGATAATATGGACTCTAGCTTTGTTGAATAAATTATCCGGTTCCTAAGGCTTTACAATTACTTTTTTTTTTTTGTTTGGTCCAGAGAATTGTCCCGTCTTTTTCAATCCACTACCCACACTTAAAAAATTAACATTGAAATTGAGATTTCTAATTTCAAACTCTTATTAATGTAGTTATTATTTAAGATTGTAATTACTATTTTATGTTTACTTGTTCAGTTGTTTCTCTAGCTAATTATTTATTAGCAATTTTTTTTTTCCTTTCGTTTAGATTTCTTTAACTTGTTTTGTACCAGTAGATAATTTTTTTTTTCTTGGTAATTACACATATTTATGGTAAACGTGTTTTTAGCCATTTATGCCCACTTTGATATTAACTAACTTCTTTTTTTTTTTTTTTATCAAAAAATATAACTTATTTAAGTTATCATTTAGAAGTTTGTAAATTATTTTTATAAAAAAAAAATAGTTTGTAAATTTTTATATATTGAATTTTTATTCTAAATTGAAAATCTGTTTGTAATTCATGACTAATTATGAAAACTCGAATTCAAGTTTATTTGTTTATGAAACTTGACATTAAAGTGAAATTTGACTTATTTATTAAATAAATCAAATTTAAATTAAATAAAGTATGAATTACTCACAAATTACTCTATTTGGTATCAACCTTAAATATAATCATATATATATTTTTTTTTGAATAAGATGTCAAAGGCCGGGGTTTCAGAGAAAAAAAATGCACCTCAAAATGTAGCAAGCTCTCAGTTGACCTGAAAAATCATATGCAAATATAATTATGTATTTTATTTTATTCTCCAGTAAAGTTGAGTATAAATGTGTAATTAAGAGAAGCATAAATATCAACATTGCGCAGATGAGCGCAGTGCGCACTACGTGTACCTGCAAAACCTTGGCACTAGTCGCGTTGTTCCCATTAGATTCCCATCTGCGTGGAGCTTCCGCCTTCCTGCAACTCAAAACATTCTCAACCGCCAGTTACGAACCAAAACTCCGCCGCGCCTTCACCCGCCGCCCAACTCACCTCGACAAATCCGCCTTCTTAATATCCATGGCTGACTCCAATTCCAGGTAAAAATCAAACTCAAACTATTTTGTTGTAATTTAAAAACGAGAGGAAAAATAAAAAAGGAATTTCTTTTGATCGTTTCTGTTGTTTATCTTAATCTCTATTGCAATCTTATGTCATATTCAGCTCGGTGAATCCAATTTATGCCGAGATTATTGTGGTGCGCCATGGAGAAACTGAGTGGAATGCTGATGGAAGAATTCAGGTCTCTTTGTTTTACTTTTGAGAAAAAAATAGAACTGCTAAAGATTTTACTTTTCTATTTTAATTTATTCTACAAGATGGATTAGCTATAAAAAAAAAATTAAATGATTCTATTTTTTCCTCGATTTTCATGATTTTATTTTATATCTGTGTTTGTTTGTTTGTTGGTTTGATTTATTTTCTATTTAAGTTTATTAAATATTTGATGAATATTGTTGTTGTTAAAGTTGTTGAATTATTACAATCTGACAGAGTTTAAGCAATTTTTGAAGTATATTTGTGATTTCAAATGTTTATGTAATTGACTAGGTTTGGGGATTTCCGGAATTAGAGTGAAATTGACAGTATCATGATGCCAATGAGTATTTCTTGAATAACCATGATAAAACTCTTATCAAATATTATAGAGTGATCAAGACGACAATTCTGTTGGGCCATAGTTGAGAAATGCTCACATGCTCTCATTACATGGTTGTAATTTTATCCTGCATTCATGGTTAACAGTCATCTGAATTAATCGTCTTTTCATCGTTTAATAGGGGCATCTGGATGTTGAACTAAATGACGTTGGGAGACAGCAAGCAGCCTCAGTATGTTATTACTTGCTTTGTTTGCTCAAATGACCCTTCTTGTTCTGACACTGATAGCTTATCTTTTTTTCTCAACACCCCAAATAAAAAGGTGGCTGGTCGACTATCCCATGAGCCCAAAATATCTGCAATATATTCTTCTGATTTGAAGCGAGCTTCTGAGACAGCAGAGATAATTGCAGCTCGCTGTGGTGAGCTAGAGGTATGAATCTAGAACCAATGTCTCATATCTGTATTAATGGAAACTTCTAGTGCAGTTCTAATGCGATGTTGATGTTGATTTTAGTTATATACTTGGTACATTTAGTTAATCTATTTCTATCAGAGGTTTACTCACCAGTAAGTTGCAAAGCTTGATGTAGATGCTATATACATGAGATAACCCAAAATATCTTCAGGTGTTTTATTTGCTACATCTGATGGTGTAAAACACTTGCTTTTTACCTTATCCCTCGCCAGGTCTATTACTGAACAGAACATTGTCTGCCAGCTACCATTGGCCATATGAATTTTCTCTACTTCACCCTTCTTACAGGGTAATCAAACATAGGACTTGTTATTTATTGATTATAGACCATTAATTTGTCTTTATTTCTCAATTCTCTGTACTACATCATGCCATCTCTTTGACCTTGGACAGTGCGCTTCTCCTACTTGAACAATGTAACATTTTTTTACAACTGTAGATTATAGTCTTTGGCTTTTCAACTTGTAGTTTATGATGTCAATTAGCTTGTTCATTGATAGTTGTAGTATGACAAGTTTCAATGAGTCGGCTTTTCTCTAAAGTTCATTAGACAGCCAAGCTATATTAAAGAATAATGACTAATGTTTCTGCCATCCCACTCTGCTTATCTCCCTCTCTCTCTCTCTCTCTCTTCTCCCTTGAGATCTATAGATTGGAAAACTTTAGACTACTGACTTTTTAATATCCTACATCTTTGTGTTGGATGTAAATTTCAGGTTATTAAGGATCCAGAGTTGCGGGAGAGACATTTAGGAGATCTTCAAGGCCTTGTATTACGTGAAGCAGCCAATGTTAGCCCCAAGGCTTATAAGGCCTTCATGTCTCACAGGACAAATGAAGATATACCAGTAAGCTAATTTATCTGATCTTCATTCCATATTTTAATGGTTTACTTCTTTCTTCTTTTTTCCTTAAATAGGGAGAACCTTGAGACAGATCTATCTCTATTTAATTCTTTATTGATGTTGAAGATTATATGTAAATATGTAATACCTGTAGATTGGCAAGATCTTTGGTTATAAGAATACTGGCCCTGGTTTTATCTCATTGCTTGAGCTTTTCAGAATTGTTTGTGGTCATCCTGTCTCAACTATCAGGCATGAATTTTTTGAGAAAATCTTCTCTTGAAATTGCTATTTTAATAAAGAAAAATTTAGTTGAATTTGTACTCTGGAAAAGTTTGGATTGCCCCCTCCTGGGCCACATTTTTTAAGTCAATAAAAAATCACTAATCAGCAAGCTTTTTCAGTTTCCTTTTTACTCAGGTAGATTAGTCATTCTAGTCATTCCTGTTTTTCACCAAATGTTATTTGAGATGTTTGTTATATTGAGCTGTTAATAATAAGTTAATAATCACAGCCATAGCTGATATCCCTCTAATTTGCTGGTATGACCCTATACTATCTGATCATACTTGAGTAAAAGAGTTTCATGTGCATTTGTCCTGGCTATTAAAATTTTGAACTAGATAATTTAGTATGATTTTGGTGATTGAACACCTTGTTTCTGCTTGGGCATAAAGATGATTTGATCCATTCTGTTGTCATTTGATGCTTTAACCATAATTTGTTTCTCTACACATGCAGGGTGGTGGAGAAAGCTTAGACAAACTCTATGATCGCTGTACAGCAGTGTTGCAGAGAATTGGTAGGAAGCATGTAGGTATGTTGTATCATTGGTGAAAGGTTTACATGCTGAAAACAAGGTTACATTAATATTGTTCAGGAACAGAATGAAGCTATAGCTTGTTTATTTATTTATTTATTTATTTTGTCTTTTTTTGGATAACGTAAGTATCCAGACCTTTTGCCATTCTAATCTCACTAGTTTTACAAATTGCATTGTCCATAGACGCTGGGCAAGGCTCCACCGGAGGGTGATGGGCATAGCCTGCTACAATTGTTTTCTTATTGAAGTGGCAATGGAGGGATTCAAACCCATGTTTCCTAACATTGTTCGCTTCACTTGTTTTATTTTTTATGCTTATTGGAACTAAAGCACATTTTATTATTACACCCTATTACCTTCATTTTTACCATGTCTGGACACTTCCATCTACCTGTAAACCAACAGGATCTTGCTGTGCTGTGTTCGAATATTGTTTTTGCCATTCACATATCTTACCTTTCAACGTCTCTACCATAAAATGTTTCCAATTTAAGCCTTTGAATTTCTGTGGCAGGAGAACAAGTAGTCGTGGTCACTCACGGGGGTGTCGTTAGAGCACTTCGCAAACGAGCTTGCCCAAATGAGAAATTGGCCGGGAAGATACTAAATACATCCATAAACATTTTTCTCCTCTCTGACGGCGATGGGTGGATCATAAAATCCTGGGGTGATGTTAGTCATCTTGATCCGACAGGATATCTGAAGTCAGGTTTTGGGGGAGACAAATTATCTGGTTAAATTAGGGTTTTACCATTGTTTCTGAAACTAATTATTTATCAGCAAAGTACTTTCCTTTTCATTTTTTGCTTCACATATCTCTATAAACTTGTTTGGTACAAATATCATGACACAAATTTGCAAAGTGATTTAATTTTATTTCCGAGCATTAACAACACCAAATCATTGTTATTACAAAAGGGAAAAAAAGAAAAAGAAAAAAAAAGAAGAATCAATGTCTGGATGCATCATGAAACAGAGAGTACACCAGAAAAATTTGAGCTTTCCCAAACCTCTAGACCCTCAACCTCTTCTCTGCTCACAAACAACCTATTCCCACCTCCTTCTATCCTCTTTATCACCCCTCTCTCTGCATCATCTGATTTATCCACATAATTCCTCTTATAACCCAATCTCTCGTTGACCAAATCACTTTGACTTTCATCTTTCTTATCCTCTGTTGTTGACCAGACTTCTAATTCTCCTTCTCTACCAACAAAAACCTGACTTTTGTAACAGTGCAACACCATACTGTTCCCACTGCTACTCCAATTTGTATTTCTCAGGATGGGGTTAGTATCCTTCATATACACCCACGGATCTTCCCCTAAATTACGCAAATCTGCCATCGCCAAATCCCCTGATTTAGAACAGATTTTAAACAGCTTCAACCCCTCCACGTCGACGTCCACGTCAGCCATTGGGTCTCCGAACCTGCTGCTGCTCCGTCCCGAACCTGGCTCGTTCGTCTCCCATACCACCTCCCCACTTCTTGGGTCCCACATCCTGATATACCCCGAATAACCGAACGCTCCTTGCGTGACGGAGATGCCGATCAGGGAGCAGGTCTCCGGCAGCCAAGTTAGCTTTTCAGGTACCGTGGTCTTGGCCGAGTTGCCGGGTTGGCGGCCAAGCTCCTGTGAGATCTGGAGAGTTGATTTGTCGATTACGAGGACAGCGTTTTCTTTGTGGGGACAGTCGAAAGAGGCGAAAATGGAATTGGTTGAGTCGGTGATGGCGTTGACTCGCGCCTTGTAGATCCGCGGATCGGTTGGGTCGGTCCAGTGAACGGAACTAACGTGGCGTCCGGCGGATGAGTTGTAGAAATGGATGCCAGCAGTGGACTCGGATCCGAGAGCGGCAATATTAGGCCAAACCCAGCGAATTGAGGTGATATCATCGAGATGGGTACGGATGGTAGAGGTATAGGTTAGGTAAGGATCGTATACGGAGACCTGTCCGCCATGGGCAATCCAAACAGAGCCGTCCTCCGCAGCAGAGAAGGTGGAGGGAATGGCGTCCGCAGCTGGGCGGATTGTGTCCTTCACAGCAGCGTCGATGCCATGAAGCTGGGGCGGGGACACGGCAAATCGGAGGCGGGAATCGATACCATAATAGAGAGCCTCATCGGCCAGTTCCTGTAGGGAAAAGCGTCGAAGGGCGGTTGAGGGGAGGCGATTAGAGCGAAGAAGAGAGAGGAGAATGGAGAAGATGTCGGAGTCACGGTCGATGAAGATGGGACCGGAATCCTTGGCGGGACCGGTGGAGAGGACGGCGAGGAGAGAGTCCGGACCGCCAGATTGGAGCGTAGAGACAGTTGTCTCAAAGAGCTTACCTCCAACATTGAGCTGTATGATGTCCTGAGGAGAAGAGAGCGGCATTCTGTGAGAATAGAAAAGACAAGTTAGTTCAGTTTTCTATATGCCCATGGGCTATGGTAATAACCATGGTGTTTTGGGGAAACATGATATTTAGTTTTCATTTAGATTTGCAGTTTTAAATGTAATTAATAGTCGATGATAAGTGATTAGTGCTAATAATATCGGATAAAAATTTCTTTCTAAACACACCCCAACTTAGTTCATAAAATTCATCTTCCCAAACACAGCATGTAATTTGAACATGAATCTTAATTGGAATTTAACTAGAATATTATGCAAAAAGCACAACACAGGGACCTCATTTTGATCTATTGGTTCAAGTCATATGTGGCAGTGCCAAAAGCACACTCGCATATGAATTGACTCATTTGTTTGGGACACAAATTCCTCAGCAATTAGTGTTATAAGTTAACTTCTCCAGTTAAGCTACATACAACTTGAATGTACGGTTACATATAACTCATATGCATGTCTACTCTTTTGTTAATATATAATATTTATTTCCGTTAAAAAAAAAAAAAACAGGAGCACACTCAAGGATGAACTAATGGAACTGGAGAACAAAATCAAAATGGAGGAGCGACTCATTAAGTAATTCAATATAATTGTACTTAGTAATCAACAGCAAACTAAGGAAGCATTTCCGGAATTCTTTGGGATTATTTTCATATTTTCAAACCTTAATACCATATCCAAATGAGGTAAAATTGACATTCAATATAATCCAATTGACATATTTTACCAACTTTTTCAAATACCAATTTCTTAAGTTAATAATTCAAAATTCACCAAGTTTCAATATAATACTTTTCTAATCACTGTCTTCATAAAATAAAAATGCAAAACCGGCCCCTCAAAGGAAACTATGAAACCAAAAACGAAGAATCCCTACCTACTGTCCAAGAAAGATTCAAGTCCAAACATAGCCCCCCCACCCCCACCTAGTCCCTTCATCAAACACTTCTAAGACTATTTAATCTAACCTTATTAGTTATTCCAACAGCAGCTATTTCTACCATTCAACAAAGTTCATTCTCGATCATACCACGGTTCTATTACTAATTCAAATTGCATTTACCCTATTCCCTAAAATATTTAATCAGTACGAACAGCGCCGGAATCTCTAAGGCAAGATTTATGTATCTACTTCTCCACAAATTCATACCCTTAAACGGCAGCAGATTAAAAACCCAACAAAAAAAAAAGGAAGAAGAAGAAAGATTCGGGAAATATACCTGCTTCAAAGTTTTTATCTTTCCCCTTGCTTCTTCGCGCCGCCTGCTTGATTCTTCTCCCCTTTTCTCTTCACAACTTCACCTGCTATACGCAGTTTTCCCAAATTTCGTCTCTGCCGCTTCAATCTTCATTGAGATCCTCGGAATTTTGTCTGCTTCTCAATTTGGCCTTTCCTCCCCTTCTTGTCTTCCTTCCCCGCTCCTTGCTTATCCCGCAATATGTTGTCTTCACATCGTTCCTGCAACTCATCGTTTCCTCCCTTTTTTTTTTTTGGACCCGATCATTTCTTAAGCAGATTTTGGGCCAAACTTAATTTTGTACCAAATTGATGATGCTGGACAGGTCTTGGACGTGAACAAAAATTATTCTAGACTAGGCCTTAGTTCACTTGTGTTTGGTTTTCGGTCAAAAATGGTATTGCACTCACGTTCGAGGATTGGGTTTGGAGTTTGGACTTTAGATTACAAGGTACAGGCTTTTAATTCATTGATTTTCTATTTTCTTCTCTTTATTTTTTTTAAGAAAAAAAAAATTAAATTTCATTAAAAAGAAATTTGAGAATTTGTCCCATACAATATATGAATTGAGATTGCTAGACGGTGGCTCATCAACTACATGCATCCATGGTTGGAAAGTGGTTAGCTCACTTTGCAAAATTTGATAGGAGTCATAACAAAACTTACCAAAAGATGCAAGAATTAAATAATCAAACTACCAAACCTGTATGCACCTCAAATCTGCAAGTGGCCAAGTTTTGCTCTCACAATAATTCCTTTCCACGCAATGCATTTATATGACCTTTTTGTTATCTTGCTAAAATACCCAACGATAACCTTCGATCTCTTAGTATGATACTCCAACTTCAAATCTCCTAAATCTCATTTAGAAATCACAAAGTTACAACCACT